CCCAAGTGCTTGGATTAAAGGCATGCACCACTATGCCAGGTCTGTGTGGCCTTTTCTTAATTGCTAATTAATGTTGGAGGGCTCAGGCCACTGTGGGCATCAGTGCCATCCCTAGGCAGGTGGGTCTGAGCTGTGTAAGAAAGGTAGCTGAGCAAGCCAAGACTAGCAAGCCAGTAAGCAGTGTTCTTCCATGGTCTCTGCTTCAGTTCCTGCCTCCAGGTTCCTGCCTTGAGTTTCTGCCTTGATTTCCCTTGATGATGGGCTGTAGCCTATATGATATAATAAAGCCTTTCCTCCCCAGGCTGTTTTTGGTCAGAGTGGTTTATTACAGCAACAAAGAAGCAAAGTAGGACACCAACCATGTGGGGAAAAAACCATGTGGGGAAAAACCATGTGGGGAAAAAAACAAAAACCCAGCGTGGAATGAAGGTGAACATATATTTGTAGAATGCAGAGGAAAGTTTGTTACAGACATTGAAAATGTTTTAGAAATTGATTTTTTAGCTCATGCTATCCTAAAAATTCTGACTTTACTGTGGATTATGGACTTTGTTATGCCTATCCTGGTCAAATGGACCGCCTTCTGGTCAAATATGCTTTTATGAGTGATTAGGAGGATTATCCTTAGTAGGCAGAGTTTTAACATCACATTTGGTGATATCCATATTTTATGTCATCTACCTTGAAAATGTCTTGAAAGAAACCCCAAAATAAAAATGTAACATTTATGGTGAGCTAGAAATTTAAAAAATCATCAAAAGGCTCTTTTATATCTTAGATATAAGTTGGTAGCTGAAAAGTATTCCTAGCATGCACACCAAGTAGCTCACAGATTTGTAGGTCAAGCTCCATGGGATCTGATGTCCTCTTCTAGCCTTTATGGGTACCCACATGCAAGTGTGTATATGCACACACAGACACAGATACTTACACATAAATAAAAATTTAAAAATTTTTTTAAAAAGAGACTATAAGGCAAGATATACAGCAACAGGAAAATATAATGAAGTCAAAAAAGTACACATCTCCCTTTGCCTCTTCATGAGGAATAAATTGTGAGATAGGTCAAAGTTCTGTAGAACTTTCTAAGTCTGTGACTCCCATGCTGACAGTAGAAGTGTGTCAATAACAAGATGGAGCTCTTGACCCTTTGACCATATCTGGGGTGGTAAAATTTTGATGAAGGGTCCTAGAGAGATTGCTCAGTGGTTAAGAGTCCTGGCTGCTCTTGCATCCTTTGAGCAGTATAACTTAAAAAGCCAGAAAACATACATACAGTCACTGTAAAGACACTTTGTAAAGACCAAATGTACCTTAGTCCCGTGTATTAAGCCCACTTGAGCCAAGAAAGGCTCAGTCATTCTCAAAGAGAACTTATATCAGTTATAAGTCACAGGCAAATAGTTATTAGAAATGGACTAAAACATACAGCATGCTCACTTTTTCTATTTATAATTTCCATGTATTGGTGGTAACCTCTAGCAGTATGCATGCAGTAACAGTAAGAATACTTTAAACATTCAGTATGGTATTGTCAGCAGTGGCGGGGGTTGTCACCTGCAGCAGCCTGAGGAATTCTTTTCCACTCAGGTAAAACCAGATTCTTGGCTTTGCCACAGGAAAGAATTTCAGGATGAGTTCGAAGCAGCATTGGAGCAAATTAAAAGACATTTTTATCATAGATTTTAAGGATAGAGGTTAATAGAGAGGTGCTCACTCAGGAAAGACGAAGACATACCTAAGTGTGGGAAAGGGCTCCTCAGAGGGCAGTTGTGCCTTACTGTCTTTAGAATGAATATATATTCTGTTGGTAAGTTACATGTTCAAAAAATCTTTTTATTATTGTGCGATGTGTTGGTGTGCACATGCTATGGCATGTGTGAGGTCAAAGGCCAACTGTACGGAGTGGGTTCCCTCTTTTCACCTTTACATGGGTTGCAGAGATCTAAGGTCTCTGGATTTGGAGTGGCAGAGGGTGTGGTGATTTTACAGACTGAGCCATCCCGCCCAAGTCTTTAAATCATATGTTTTCAACAAGGATTAAAGGTCAAAGGTTTGCCTTTAAAAAATTATTACCTTTATTTATTTATGTGTGTAAGGCACATCTGGTCAGAGGACAGGCTGGGGAGTCAGTTCTCTCCTTCCACATGGGTTCCTGGGATTGAGTTCAAGTGGTCAGGGCCTTTATATGCTGAGCCATCTCCCCTACCCAAGGCTTGCCTTTTTTTGTAAAAAAAGTTTTAAGATTGGTTTGTGAGAAGTGTTGATTAGATTTAGGAACGAGACAAAATCTAGAACTCAAGGTTATAAATAATTTTGGCCATAAGTAAGCAGTTTATTTTGTTGTTCTTTAAGATATCTTTAGCAAAATAAGCACTATTTCTGTAGACAAATTTGGTTTTAGCAATGTATCAGTGGCATGTGAAGTTCTCTGTAAGAAGGAAAGATAAACCAGGTCTCCAACGAAGGGCCTGTCTTTATTTCCAAGTCTCTTTAATTTTCTCTTCCTATCCTGCTTCAGTGTCCCAACACATTCAGCTCACTGTAGTATCCCTGGGTGAAGGGTCTGAGCTGAAGCCTCCCCCTGCTAGGCGTGGGGTGGAAGAGCAGGTGTGACAGCAATAAAAACTCACTAACAGTGAGATGAAGAACCTTAAACTGTGGAAGACCCCGATGAGATTATGAGAAGAAAGAGGAAAATATATGGAAATCTGCCCTGCCCCTTATAGTTTGTTACAGGCTTGGCTACCATGTGCCCCCACTGAAATCTTTGTTTGCCAAACTGCATTCTGTGATCTTTTGTAACCAACGTGCTATGATGTAACCCTTTGCCTTACTACCAAGTACAAGCTTCTGGAACCCCCTACTTCCTTGACTTCCGCATATATAAATTGACTATAAATTTCCCTACAAAACTGAGGTCAAGGCTGGCGCCATTACTCTGTTGGAGTAAATAAACTTCCTCCTCTTCATCTGGTTTGGCTGCCGGTCTCTCGACTCTTAGAAGTTTGTTCAACACAGGGTTGTGTCAACCGGGGGAACCCCGCCTGAGACCCCCACCCCCCCCCCCCCCCCCCCCCCCGGGCTTTCGGTTTCTCCCGTCTCCATCTTGTTGCTGCGCAGATCCGGCATCTGCAGAGGCAAGTTGACAGATCCGAATGACCGGAGCCCCTTCTTTGGGCCGGATGGGTACGTGACCTGCGCGGTGGCTCCCCTGCACACTGTACCCGAATCGTGCACTCCGCGTGACCCGGATGCGTGGTCTCGCCCAGCCCGCGCACCCAGGCCCAGCAGGTGGAGGCTGCACTCAGCCTCGCGTTCCCGTGATCGCCCGGGGTGGGTGGGCCTTCAGGAAGGTGCCCCGGAATGCCGATGCCCTGGTCCGGGTGGCCTCCGGGGCGCTGGGCTGGGCGGAGCGCTGGGGTCCCGAAGCCATCTCTGCGCCTCTGCTCGCAGACTTTCCCTCCTTGTCCCACGGTTCCCCGCAGGGCCACCTTGTGGGACTCGGAGCGCCCTGGCGGCGGAGCCCCTGGGAAAGAAGCCCTAGGCGGTATCGGAGCACCCCGAACCCCAGGGGCAGCGCCCATGAATCCCCGAGCCCCGGTGCGGGAGTGGGGGCGTCACCCATCAGTTGCAGAGGAGGAAAGCTTAGAGGTTAGCTTTGCTGATAGAGCTGCAACTTTGTGTAAACATTGACTACATTTATCTTGCGTTGCTCATTTCCGGGAGTTGAACTGTCGAAAACGTGGACAGTTTTCCTCTCGAAAAGTTGATGGAGAACTTTCTTCTGAGTTGTGTGTTTGTGTGTGCCTTGTTTACTCAGTGGAAAACTGGTCAGGCAGGAATTTTCACACTTTCTCAAGAGCCTGATGAAACGTCTTAGAGTTACTTCCCAAAGCAGTTTAACGTATATTTGAGCAAATAACAAGAAAACTTTACTGGGAGTTGAGGGTACCAGACTACTAGTATATACTTTTAAACCCTCAAGTTAGCCCATCCTTTCTCATACCCTTCAAATGGACAAAACTCTTAAGACGATTTCAAGATGTTTTCGCTTGACCAGGTCTGGATTTGTATGAAAGGGCAAGTTCCTTTGAACTGTCGACAAAGGAATGCCAGAGAGCAAATTCAAAGAAAGTCGTTCCAGAGAACTGGGAGAACTGGGCTCTAAAGCTCTTCGAAATTCAAAGTCTCTGAAATTCAAAGGAAGTGGTTCCAGAGAACTGGGAGAACGTTCTAAGGGCTCTAAAGCTCTCCGGTAGGTCTAATTGACCTTTGAAATGAATTCTTACACCAGAGTTGGAGCCAGTAGGGGGTAGCATCTGTCAGTCTTTCAGGATGATGATCTAAAATCTAAAACCCACCCTGGGTTTCAGATAAAAGGGTAGGAATTTTTGCGGTTCCCCCGCCTTCTGGTAGTTCAAAAAGGGTTCATGGAACAAAACAAAAGGCTCAACTCCAGTACTGCAAATAAAACCTCTTGGTTTGGAAGCGAATTTTAAATGTTTTTCTTACGGGAAGTTCCTGTTTTTAGATAACAGTTGTTTTACTTGTCCTAATGTTGAATGACTTGGTTAAAGTGGTTCTCTCTCTCTCTCTCTCTCTCTCTCTCTCTTTTTTATCTCTCCCTCTCTCATTGGATAAGGGTTCTTATGGAGTCTTCACAGAATATGGAGAGAAATAACTCTCTCCCTCTCTCTCTCCCCCCCCCCTCTCTCTCTCTCTAACTGGGTCCCCTTATGTAGCCCAATTTGGCTTAGAATTCATGATCCTCCTGCCGCAGCCTCGCCTTAAAATTTTTTTCTAGAGGTTTCATGTTGTACATTCTGTGTTCCTAACCTAAACCAGTTTCCAGGGTGAGCCACCCACAGTTCCGCAGGGACGCTGGGTGTCCACTGTGCGGGGCACTAGGGCTGGGTCGCAGGTGGGCGGGTGTTTTTTTAGCTCTGGACTGGGCGGTCCAGAAAGTTGAGGCGGAAGTAGGCTCGGCTCCAGGGCTTCCTGCGGTTCCGCCCGCCTTCCTGTTAGGGTCCTGGGGCTGCGGTGGGATGGCGTTGGCTCCTTCTTGGTGGCCGGGGACTGCTCGCAACTTCCTGAGCCCCGCGCGCCCACCTTGGCCACACTCGGAGGGGGTGTTGTCATCCAGAGAGACACGCGCGTGGCCTCGTACGGTGTCCACGGCGCTGGGCGGGGCATTGCCCACTGCTCATTCTTGAATCTGTGTCACTTGCGGGCTTGTCACCTGGCCTGCAGCTGGGCCCGGCTCGGCACAGTAGCCAGACAGGAGCCTCAGGATGCTTGCGTTCATTCCCAGGGTCGTTGGATCCTGTTTTCAGGAGGTCTCTGGAGAGAACAGGTGACCTTCTGGGCCACTGTTCAGTGGGATGAGCCGGCGGCCGCCCGGCGTGAGTAAACGAGACCCCTACCATTCTCTCTTGTGACCCTTTCTTCCAGGCTGGTGGTGCGGTGGTGCTTTGGGCTCAGAGGACAATGGAGAACTGTCCCTCAATTCCTACAAAAAAGGATGAGTTTCCTGTTTTCCGCCCTTGGTCCCTCTGAGTTTTCTGGGGACTCATTCACATCATTTTGAGACTTGTGGCACATTTAAATCTTAAGAATGTGCTCCATTTGCCGTTGAGTCTGCTGCTTTCTTGGAGAGAGAGCCCCAAAGGCTATCTGTTATTGGACTTACATGACTCTTTGTCTTTAATTCAGTATCAACGACCTGTTGAGATCTCTGGGCCAGGCAGAGCTCTGGACACCAGACTTCTTGTTTCCATAACCTTAGAGTGTGATTGGGAGAGACCCAATACAGTTCTTACACAGGCAGTCTGGACAAGGTCCAAAGACAGCCTGACTTAGGAAGAAGCCTGCTGGACAGGAATGGGGAGGCATGCCAGAAGCCAGCCTGAACTCAAAGTGTTCTTGTCTTTAATCCCTGAGGCTAGAGGCACTGTGTGTGTTCAGAGGCTCTTGTGCTCCTTTAGATGAAAGATCTGTAGGGTCTTTTACAGTTCACTTCCATCACCCCTGTGGGAAGACTTCACACTCCACCTACAGGAGTATCCTTCCTTTGACCTTTCACAAGCTCTTGCTCTTTAGCACAGAATTTCACTTCATAGTTTGCATTATAGTATTTGAAAAACTTTCAATCAGGTTGTAATGTAATAACCTTGGTTATGTATCTGCAAAATAAATAAAGCCCCTTTCCAATGAATCCATTCTTTAGAGATATCCAAAGAGCGTAGGCTCCTGTTTTTTACACATTTGTGCACTCAAATAGAGTCTTTAGGATGCTTTAAAAATGTGTATTTTGGGAATGGGGATTACAGGCATGGGCCATTATGCCCATTTCCATCATTTTCTTAAAATTTATATGTAATACCTCAGTTTCTCTGTAATTGAAGACTTGTAATATAACATAATATATATAAGTAATATAATATATATAGTAATATAATATAGCATAAGGTTTAACATGTTTTGAAGCAAATGACTTCTTTCAATTATCTGATTTCACAAATGGAAACCAGAACTTTATTATCTACCTGTGAAGTTTTTTTTTTTTTTTTTTTTTTTTTTTACTTAAAAAAAAAAACAACTTCCTTTGGCTTATGCATTTGTAGTTTTGTAGTTTTTGTTTGAGATCAGGTCTCTTGGAGCCTCAGCTGGCCTTGAACTCCTGATCCTCCTGCCTCTACCTTTCTGGTGCTGGGACTACACGTGTGTATAACAACACATGGCTAAAGAGTAGCTTTTAAAGCCATATTTTTGTTTTAAATGGTAGGTATTTGACATATTCAGCACCTACTCAGACACCTTCTGGGGTGTTGGGAGAGCCAGCCGAATTCCCTGAACAGTGACCAGAACTTCCTTGCAGGTGTTCTGAAATGGAACTGTAGTGGGTTTGCGGATCTCCCTCTGCTGACTAGTTAGGAGAGACTGGAGCAGGAACAAAAGTTAGGTTTAACAAGGTGTAGTAGCACATGTCTTTAGTCCCAGTACTTGGGAGGCAAAAGTAGGCAGATCTCTGTGAGACTGAGGCCAGCCTGGTCTACATAGTGAGTTCCAGGCCAGCTGGGGCTACAGGTCTCAAAAAGACAAAAAAAAAAAAAAAAGTTACATCCAAAGCCTTGGCCATGGTATACTGCTGAAACCTGAGTTCAGGCTTTATGCTTGACTTGAGTTCTACTTTAATCCCATGACCAGGTTATTTTAATCTATCAGATAATTGAAAACTGTACCCTGTGCCTGGGGACCCTATTAAAATGTTGTGGTGGTGCAAGGGAGTTATCTACAGCACAAGGCTGTACCCTGGAGAAACTAGGTCAGTTACTGTCTACCTGGGCTTTTTGTAAACAAGCTGGCCATCATTTAGTCTAAATGTGGATTAAGTTTATCCCTTTAATCTGGTGGTCCTCAGGAACCTTGAAGAGACACATAGAACTGGTTAGCATATACCAGGGATGGCGATAAGACTGAAGCAGATGGGAAATTTTTATTCTCTTTTCTCCATTGTTTGTCCATTTCTCAGATTTTGTTATAAGTAGGTAGTGTTTTTATTTATTTATTTTTATTTTATGTGCATGTAAGTGTACCACATGAATGTAATGCTCGGGGAGGCCAGAAGAGGGCGTCAGATCACCCCTGGACTGTTAGCCACTATGTTGGTGCTGGGAACTGAACCCTCGGTCCTCTACAAGAGCAGCCAGTGTGCTTAATCACTGAGCCATCTCTCTAGTCCTGCAGGTAGCACTTTTTATCATTAGAAAAGAATTCTCTACTGAAAAGGACTTTAGGAGCTTTATCTCCCTGCTACAATGTACAACTTCTGTTTTTGAACTGATCTATCTTCTGAAGGGACAATCTTACTAGAGAATCCACCGTATAAACTGATCAAATGTATCTGCCTAGTTGACATTTTAATTCAAGCGAAGATAATCTTTAGAGGGTATCTGCTAAATATCAAGCTCTTCTCTTAGGCAGTTAGGATTGTTTGTTTTTGGTCCACCTTTTTTTATTTGTTTTGTTCTTTAAGACAGTTTTCACTCTGTAGCCCAGATTGGCCTTGAATTTGCTGTTCTCTTGCTTCAGCCTCTCAAGTACAGGGATAACAGGCCCTTGGGCCACTTACTCTTTTGATCAAACTTTGAGAAGAAAGAATGTGAGTCTTCATGACTGTTGACTGCTGAAAATATACCCCAGTTTCTCTAAAATTGATATCAGATGGCTTAAGACACCCAAAAATGAAAGTGAAACTCAGCCACAGTGTTCCTTTATATAGCCTAGAGCTGAGGTTTGTTTTCTGAACTCATGTTTTACCAAAGCATTACATGAGAAATCTTGCTTAAATTCAAGTAGTTTGGCCTGCTATTTTTTTCTGCCAAGGAAACTGATGGTTTATGATGAAATTATAATGCAGTAAATACTTCATATGACCCTGTAGTTTTTTCCAAGTGACAAGAGTGAGTTCTGCAACCATTCATGGGAGGGTAATTGAGTTTTAAACTGACACCATCTCATACAGGACAGTAGTAGTTCTGAGAATGTTAGACTGCTGTTCTGTTTGAGAAAAACTAACTTTACACTTTAGGCACTTTTGAATCCTAGAATTATTACATCGAGATTGGGTTGGAGATTGGGCAAATGAAGACTGGCACATAAATTTTAAGGGGTTGAGAAATGACAGTTTGTAGCTGTGTATGGTAGCACACACCTTTAATCCCAGCACTTGGGAGACCGACAGAGGCAGGAGGATTCTCCGTGAGTTCGGAGGCCAGCCTGGTCTACATAACGAGTTCCAGTAGGCCAGCTGGGTCTACAGGGAGACCACCCTGTCTCAAAAAAAAAAAAAAAAGAAAAGAAAAGAAATGATAGTTTGTTCAGAGTAAGTACAAAGGATGTATTTTTATCAAAAGGTGCTGGGTGCTGGGAATTGGTTGAACTTTTTGCCAGAGGACATTTGGTGAGTTTGGTTGAAGACATTGTCTTCTTCCTACTTAAGGTGGAGTCTTGCCAGCTCACAGGAAGTTCTGCCTAAGATCAAACCCAGTCTCTGACTAACATAGTAAATCATCCTAAACATCCTAAAACAACATTGGCATTATTTCATATAGTTGCAGAACAGTCACAAGTTCTGTCTCCTGAATCTAATAACCAGGTTCCAGGTAATGTACCTTGTCATGCCATCAGGTCTATCTTGCTTTGGTGTAAGTCACAAAGGGAAAAATGGACATTATACATGTGCCTGTCTGCTGCAACTGTGCAGCAATGTTTAGCCTGTTCAAGGGCTCTGATACCTGAGCAGCAGGCCTGGCCAGGGCCTACCACAGGTAACTGAAGGTGTGTGAGAACAGACCTGTCCTCAAGGACCAATTCCTGCATAGCACAAAATAAGATAAATGCCTATAGAGAGTACAAACAGTGCTACCAATCAGAAGATCCCTTGGGATGAGGACAAGCTATGGAAAAGAGCGATTGAAAGATGGAATAGGATTTCAGCATGCAGATGATGAGAGGACACAAGGAGGGCTTTCTGAGTGGAGGCAATGATGCTGAGATAGAAAAACTGTCCAAGGAACACTGAGGTTTTTGTCTGGAGTTGGATTATGGAGTTGGGTTGTGCACAGTGAGATGGTACTCTTAGTGCTTCCGCTATGTGTAAAAAGTTTTTCAAATAAAAATTTAACTTTGGTTAAGGTGGAGCAGGCTGCAACATCAACTGGATTCAGCTTCATGCTCCTGGTGACTGTTCATGTTTCTGATTCACGGCCTTCAGTCCTGCACACAAATGGAGGGGAAGGAGCTTCTGCTCCATGAAATGGCCTCATTGCATTTCACCCCAATAGAGTAACTCTTCTGTCATCCTTTTAGGAACTTTCAGGTGACTCAAGTACTTCATGTTCCTATGTCACTGGGGTTCCCAGTCACCTGAAAGTTCTAGACCTACATGCTGCTTCCTGCAGCTGATAAGGTAGGTTTCACCCTGTGACTGCTCTGGTTGTAGGGTTGGTTAGTTTGTTTTCACACTTGGTTCTGAGGAGATGACCTTGCTTTCTTTGTCATGCTCCAGCCTGGTCTGGCTTCAGGTGGAAAGCAGGACAAACAACAGAGTGTTAAGTATGTCCTAGGGAAGCTAACCAGTCTTATTGGCCAAAGTGTGGCTGATGAGAATATTTTGTGTTTTGGGTACCACTTGATTGGGAGGCACTTAACTTTCTGTGAGACAGGTTAACAAGTCTGACCAAAATTACCACATTTTACTGTTACCTATTCAGGCTATGCTAGATGCCAGAGGGGTGTGTTAAGTGATTTACTGGAAGCTTGTCTGCAGTGGGTGGTGATACAAAAGAGTTACTGGCCAAGCCTGTGACTAGTTCTTTCAGGAAAGCCACATGAGGTGGGTGGGGCTTCAGCTGGGCCTGCAAGTTAAGAAGGGTTTTGCTAGGCAGATAGGTGGAAAGATGTAGTCTAGGCAGAGGCCCATGGAAGGGAACTTACTGAGGTTGGGTCGAGGCTAGATGTGCGGTGTGCATATTAATAAGATCAGAGAAGACACAAGACCATGAATGGCTTTGAGTGCAAAGAATACTGGAGCCTGCAAGGGGAAAAGAACTGTCACTGAAAGGTTTGAATTAGCAAAATGTCAAGCAGGAACTGACCAGGGTTCTGTAAAAGAGACTTCCCCAGCACATGCTGGAGCCACAGAATGTGGATCTGTCAGGTCTGTGCTGTGTTGATCTCCCTCCTTTCTCAACTTCCTGCTGCTCTTTAAAATTTCTTTAAATATTGCAGTTATTGTGTGTGTGTATGTGTGTGTGTGCATGTATGTGGTGTGTGTGTGTGTGTGTGTGTGTGTGTGTGTGTGTGTCTGCATGTGCAGAGGACAACCTTCAGGAGTTGCTTCTGTCCGTCCACCTTGTGGTCCATCCAGGGCATTGAATTCATGTCTTCAGTCTTGGTGGCAAGTGCATTTGCCTGCTGAGCCATCTCATCGACCATATAACTATTTGAATCAATGGCTTCATCTATGCTGGGTGTCTCCATTCAAACTCTTTAAAAAATATTTTATTATTTTTATTTTATGTGTACGAGTGTATTGCCTGCATGTATGTAAATGCACATATGTCATTCAGTGCCCTTGGAGGTCAGAAGAGGCTGTTGGATCCTCTGGAACTGGAGTTACAGATGGTTGTTAGCTGCATATGGGTGCTGGTAACCAAACCCAGGTCTTCTGTAAGAGCAGCCAGTGCTCTTAACTGCTGAACCATCTCTCCAGCCCTCAAACTCTTTTTGAAAAACAAAGTTTTAAAAATTAATTTACAAAGTAGTGTATTTCCATATGGCTGTTTCACAATCCTTGGTTGTAATTAACCCTCTCCTCTCCACTATTTTAGATATAAGTGGGAGAGACTCAGAATATGAAACTGGGGGTCAGGGTAACCAGCTATTCCAGTTAGCTCAGGACAGATTGTTTCCTGGGATACACAGTTTTTGGTGCCCAAACTGGAAAGTTCTGGGCATGCTTAGCTCATTTGCTTACCGGAGGTGTTTAGGGATGTGTGTTAGAAGGCAAAAGGTGAAGGAACGGAAGTCTGGCCAGAGAGTTGAAGCCTGTGTTCCAGATCTTGTCTGGAGAAAATGAAGTGAGGTTGTTTTCCAGTGTCACCATATGTAACTCATTCATTCATGCGCACCAAGAGCCAGCTCTGGGTTAGGCACTGATGTTTGAACAGACCATTTAATAACCACTGGGGTACCCACTGCCTTGGTCTAGGCAAGGTGGTTCTGGGAGCCCCAAGAATATTTTCAAGAAGCTCAGCCTAGAGCCTCTTTCTCCAATCCTTTCAGCAGTTTTGGAAATACCAATATTAAGCATATCACCACTGAAATGCCTGGAGTGTTTCTATTTCCAGACCTCAGTGTTCCTTTTATGAACCAATGGAAAGCGACTCTGGTGACTTAAGCTTCGTTACCATTTTGAGAAATTGCACTGGTCTTATGACTTCCAACAGAGAAATGAAACTGAGACTACTCTTAGGTTTTAGCTGCTCTGGTTGCCAAGGTCAGAGACAGTGAGTACCAAGTAGGAGATTGTGTGTGGGTGTGAAAAAGAAGGGGAGAGAGAGAAGCTAGTGAGAATTTCATCTGAAGAAAAGGGAATTTCTTTAAAATCTAGAAAATGCACAGATGCCAGTTTTGTCTGGCCATGGAGCTGAATGGTTTGATATAGTGGGGCAAGGTTAACTCATTGGGATATCTATCAGGATTGGCATTTGAAAAGCAGGAGGCGTCAGAAGTGAGCTTGGGCATCTGGCAGCTCTGGTGCCTCTGTCCCGAGTGTTGAGAAAGTGACTGTGGAAAGGGTGAATGGATGGGACTGGAGAGATGCTCAGGGGTTAAGAGCACTGGCTGTTCTTGTGGAGGGCCTGGTTTCGATTCCCAGCACTCACATGGTAGTTAACGGCCACCTGTAACTCCAGTTCCAGGGGATGTGATACCTTCTTCAGTACTCCTCGGGCACTGCATGACATGGGCACACTTACACACATGCAGGCATAACACTCATACACATAAAATAAAAAAAAAAAAAGAAAAAAAAGAAAAAAGAAAGGTTAAGTGGAGTGCTGGGTGGAGCCCAGGTAGGTGGGGTTGGCAGCCAATGACCATGTCTTTTTTTTTTTTTGGTCTTTTTGAGACAGGGTCTCCCTGTAACTCCAACTGGCCTGGAACTCACTATGTAGACCAAACTGACCTTGAACTCACAGAGATCAGCCTGCCTCTGCTGGGATTAAAGGTGTGTACCACCACACCCAGCAACCATGAGTCTTTTTACCTAGCTCAAAAGACTTGGGGCTGGGAATGTGGCTTGAGTTGGTAAAGTGCTTGCCTAGCACTCACAAAGCCCTGGTCTCCATCGCCAACACTGCATAAAGCCAAGCTTGGTGGCAAGGTGGCATGAGCCTATAATCTCAGCACTCAGGAGGTGGAGAAAGGAGGATCAGGATTTCAAGGTCAAACCTGGTGAAAGAACAAGGTTTTCCTGTATAGGAAATCTTATTTCTCATGAAAAATGACAAATATTTTGCTCTGTTCTATTTTTTCTTGTTTTATTGTCCCATCTTTTTAAAAAATATTTTTAGCTAATTTTGAAAGAGAAGCATCTTAGCTCTGGAAATTGTTATTGAATATGTCAATGCTGTTGTAATGAAATGCTTCTTCTAATTATATGGTTATTAAATAAATAATTTAAAAAGATTTATTATTTTTTATTTTATGTGTATGCGTGTATTGCCTACATGTAGGTAAGTGCACCCGGGTCCTGCAATACCCGAAGAGGACAGAAGAGGCTGTCGGATCCCCTGGAACTGGAGTCTCGGACAGTAATTGGCTGCCATGTGGGTCCTGGGATTCGAATCTGGGTCTTCCACAAGAACAGTCAGTGTTCTTAACCGCTGAATCATCTCTCCGGCCCCTTACTGTCCCACCTCTGCCCTCAATAAACTGTTGAATGTAAGGGGTGAATGGGCATACTTGGACTGATTTTTAAGTGAATGACTCTAACATGCTACCAGTAAGCACAACATTTGATATGGGTTTTTCCTTTCATAATTACTGTTTAACTGGGGGCTGGAGAGATAGCTCAGCAGTTAAGAACACTGACTGTTCTTGCAGAAGACCCGGGCTCGAATCCCAGCACCCATATGGCAGCTAATAACTGTCCGTAACTCCAGTTCCAGGGGATCCAACAGCCTCTTCTGTCCTCCGCGGGCATTGCACAACATGGGTGCACTTACCTAAATATAGGCAATATACACATAAAATAAAAATAATAAATAAAATAGTTTAAAAAATCCTTTAATTACTCTTTAACTGATTATCAGTTGCTCTCTGGCAAGAGAATTCCCTTAGTTTTAGTCAATGGTTTTTAGGGAGCTAATATTTTTATTATATCAAATCTTCCTACTCATTAATAAAGTATGGATCTCCATTTATCTAGGTATTTAGTAATATCTTTTCAATAATTATTTTTTTCCATGAAGGTCTTGCGCAGCTTTTGTCTGAACCATTCCTACACGTTATCTGTGTGATGTGATATGTGATAAATCTTAAATGGTTGGCACTGTAGTTTTTAGCTGTTTTCTTTTTGACTCCCTACATTTTACTTATTTTTTTTTGTATAGCTACGTATCTGAGAAGCTATTTCTATGTTTTATTTTGCACCTCTATGTACATTGTAACCAGAGGCTTTTCAGATTAATTAGCATGTGGATTTTCAGCCTCAGTTCTGTAGTCATGGTTGGGGGGGCTGTGTCATTCTTGATTGTGGGGAGACACAGGGAGGTTGTGGGATGTGTTTAACAGCACCTTGACCTCTGTCCACCATGATAATAACCAAAAATGTCATTAGACATCATTAAATGACACTGAGGAACAAAATTTCCCTGGATAAAAGCTATTGATCTGGCCTTCGGAATTGCAGAAATTTCCCCTTAAATGAATTTGAACATACTTATTTAACTCTTTCAGGTTTCACTCCTAAGATGTAAATTCCATTTGCCTATTGAGGTGATTTTTATTTTATGCTCCAGCAGAAGTTCTCTACCTGTATATGATGGTAGAGACCTGTCATCTCAGCATTCCAGAGGCTGAGGCAGGAGGACTGCCATGAATTTGAGGCTGACCTAAGCTTCATAGTTTTAGGCTAGACTGGTCTACACAGTAAGGTCCTATCTCACAGAAAGAAATTCTCTGACTGTCTCCTCTGGGAAGGGGATCTTCTGAGGGGGTGATGTATTCTTCTGGAGACTTTGTTGACTTCTCTAGTCTTGGAGAAATTTTTATATTAATTTCTTGGCCTGGGCTTAAAAGAAACCCCAACAGAATAGTGACTTTTTGATTCTAGCTTAATCTCTTGTTTCTTCGCTTTTCTCTGTCTAGTGCCCAATACCACTAGGAATAGAGAACTGCCCCTCCACTAGACTCCCAGCTTATAGAATGGAGATTTGCTGCATCTTGAGGGCCTAGCTCTACATGGGAATCTATCTGTATTTTTTTCCTGATATTTTCTCTCACCGTGCCAGATGCTCCCACTGAGTAATCTTGATTTGGCTGCCAAACTGTCCCCTCATTAGTATGGGGGAGATAGCACACCAGTGCTCTTGCTGAGTGTTCGTGACTGACAGAAAGCATCGTGGGCCTGACAGTGGGAGAAAATGAACTGATCAGATGCTGCTGTGACTGTTAACTCTTGATGGCGTTGTCTCACTGTCACTATGAACTACAAAAGGTAGACAACTGCTTTTGAAAGCAGATAATTAAACATTTCATTTCTAGTAGCTTTCTTTGGTTCTTTTTCAAGTACGTCTGGAAAGTCTGGATAATAGCCTATATTTAATGACCTCTTATTTTTTTCCCTTATTTCTTCTAGCACATGTAACTATTTAGAGATTAATTTATAATAGCATCTACTAACACAATTATGACTCTTAGTGACTAGAGTAGAAAAAGGACTTGGCCTTTTCATGGATATGGACAGGTTAAAGTTTTGTTAATCCTGTGAATGGGATATAAACTTTTGGCTTTCTGAGACATGTCAAAAAATTCCAGGTTAAAAAAAATAAAGTAGTCTATGCTCGTTTTTCTACTCTGAGGAACCATTTACTAAATTTCATTCCTTCTCACAAAGCTCCTTATTGAGGTGAAGTTTGAATGAATGCTCATAGAATTGGCACAACCCCGCCAGTCCTAGATAAATATATAAATATAATTATACAAAATACACAAACCATTATCAACTAAGAGTTGAATTATGTTTCCAGTTAATTTTTTCCTAATCTTAAGATTAGTGTTTTTTTGTTGTTAGTGGTGGTGTTTTGAGGCAAAGTGTCTTACATCCCAGGCTGGCTTGAACTTGCTTTGTGTTGATGACATCCTTGAACTTATGATCCTCCTACCTCTACTTCCCTGCTGGTGTTACAGGTGTGTACCACCACACCTGGTTTATGTGGTGCTAGAGATCAAACCCAGGGCCTCATGCATGTTAGGCAAATACTTTACGAACTGAGCTATATCCCCAGCCCCTGATTAGGCTTTAATCTGGATATTGTTTCATATGAACAAATCAGATACTTGCTCAGGATAGCAGAACTGTAAATTGTGGTTGTAACAGTTGAGAGCAGATCATGATGGGTCAGTGAGACAGTGATGGCTCAGTTGGTAAAGGCACTTCTCACCAAGCCTGAGGACCTGAGTTCTACCTCCAGGATACACGTGATGGAAGGAGAGAACTGACTGATGAAAGTTGTCCTCTGACTTCCCGTTGAGGTGTGGCATGCATACACTTTCCCTCCTATAGACATAATAAATAAATAATGAAATATTTGTCCTAGAGTAGACAGAGACTGTTGTTTGCAGCTTAAATTAGAAAACTGTTCAGTTCTGATGGAAAAGATTAGCAAGGCACTCACGCCTTAAGCTTATCACTTCTATTCTGGAGTGAGGTCTTCCTCCCAGATCTCCTGTCTGCTTCTGCTGATTCTATGGGGAGTTTTGATGGCCACTGTTGCCATGGAGCTGTGTGTTGAGGGTCAGGGACTCCTGGCCCTTCCCTGGGGGTTAGTGTCTGAGCATCTGGTCAAAACCCAACCCTTTGCCCAGCCTTGCAGGCAGGTCCTCAGGCATTCATGGGGAAGTTGTGAGTTAGGGCCTCTGGGAGGCTAGCAGCAGGGCTTACGGGTATGAGAGAGGGCTGAAAGAGTGGGACAGCAACTGTAAAAGAGGTGTGGGGGCAAGGACAGAAACATCTTGTTGTTGTTTATGAGATCCCCCACATAGAGGGTCCCATTTGTTAAGACCTACATTAGTCCAGGACACCTGGGTGGGACCACCAAAAGTGGGCGGTAACCCCTGTGATAAGTTTCTCTAGTCGAGTCAGCTGCTTAGTCACTGGGCTTTTTCCTTCCTCCCCCGGAGTTCCCTTATTGTAAGTTACGCATTAGCTCCCCAGTTGTGATTTTCCCCTTAGCCTGCTTTACATTCTGCTTAAACCATGCGGGATTTTTTGGGAGATAATTTTGTCTTTGATTTCATTTCCTTGACTCTATCAGTTTGCTTCTGTATCTCTTGGCTTTTGGATTACTGTTGGTCTTTGGCTCTGTCTAGGGGATCTGAGGGTCCCTTTCTGATGACTTAGAAGTATGAACTGATTCTACTCACTTAGGGAGACCAGCAAGAAAGGAAGAGCTCTTGAATTATCTTAGGCTTAAGTTTTTGATGATTTAAGAGCTTCTCTCACCACAGAACTCTTCAATTGGGAAGAACTCTGAAAAAAATGAAGAAAGCCCTCAGAGATGAGGTTGACTTCTCATGGCTCATGGAACTCTGCTGAGTGGATGGGAGCTTGGTCACTGCAGTTCCTGAGGATGGCTCTGTGCTCTTTGTCTACCAACATCATCCACGAGGTGGAAGAGTCTCTTGATGAAGATGAGAAGGAGATGCTGCTTTTCTTGTGCCGAGATGCTGCTGAGAACTTGTCTCCATCTAATGTTAGGGACTTCCTGGGTAGCTTAAATGAGAGAGGCCAGCTTTCTGTTGCTGCCTTGGCTGAACTGCTCTATAGGCTTGGGAGGATTGACCTACTTGAGAGGATCTTGAAGACGAACAAAGCAGCCGTGGAGGCCCACCTGCGCAAGTACCCTCCGCTTGTTTCTGACTATAGGTAACTCATCAGTTCTAATCTAGGCTGGACTAGGGGGAAGGAGGCAGGTGGTCTCAACTGAAGGACAGTAAGGGCTACCATTACTTTCTTCTCCCTCTGATCCAGCTGCCTATGATACCCCTTCATGCCTTGGAATTCTCTGGATTCTTTTGGTTGGTTGGCTTTGCATTTTTTGGAGACAGTATTTCATACCAGGCTGGCCTGGAACTTAGAATGTGGTCCAGGCTGAACCTCTAATTCATGGTAGCCCTCCTGACTCAGTCTCCAAAGTGTGGAATTGCAGCTAATTTGAATTCTGAAAACACAGTTGCTTAAAGGAACTGGGTAGAAGATCATAATGCAAGGGACAGATGTCTGTGCTTTCCAAAAGGACAAAAGGACAAGAAGGGAAGATAGAACAACTCAGACAGTGTGGGGGCTGCTGTTTGTCCATTGTCTGTGTCAGTCTTTGACAGTGTCTAGTACTGAGAAAGGAAATAACAAGTCTGAGTAATCTTCCTACCTTTATGGAACTGTGACCCCCCACTTCTGCACCCCTGATGTCCTTACCCTGGCTGGCCGAAGAAATGCAGCAGGGTGGCCTTCCTTCCTTTGCACCTGCCCTCCAGGCTCTGAAGAGCCTAAGTTGGATACTTTTTCAATTAACCACCTTTCAGCCTCCTTCATGTTAAAGCTGGAACTGCCACTGGGGTCCCTTAAGTCAGAGACCCTTGAGCTGTTCCTTCCCCTGTTCCACCAATATGTAGGTGCCACTGAAAGGATGGAGTTTTCTGGAAAGAAAGAGAACTTGTTCCTTTTAATTGCTGTTTCCTTTTCCTCTAGGTCATTAGCCTTTTGTTCTGTCAGTAATGTAGTAAGTGTTTGGAGATGACATGTGTTATCAAAACTATACTGAAGAGAGTGGAAAGCAGTGTGGGCTTTGGAAAGTGTTGAGAGTTGAGGTTGGAAGGCCTGCATTAGAACCTAGACAGACATACCAATTGTATGGGCCATGTAGGCTGAGCCAGTCACTTTGGTTGGGCCTGTTTTCTTCTTATAAAGTGAAGGATACTATAACCCAATTAGCTGGGCTTGGTGATACAGACCTGTAATCTTAGCTACCCAGGAGGCTAAGGCAGGAAGATTGTGAGTTGAAGGCTTGCCTGGTCTACAGAGTGAGTTCAAGTCTAACCCGAGTAACAAAATCAGATTCTGTCTCAAAAAAAGGGGAGGGTAGGGCTGAAACTAGCAGTAGAACACTACCATGTGCGAGGTTCTAGGTTCAAGCCCAGAACCACAAAAACAATCATGGAACTTCACAAGGTTGTGAGCCCGTGGGATAATGTGCTAAGTGAGGCTTTATGTGGGATCATGGGATTATTGTTATTTTGGTCATCTTCTACCTGTCCAATTATAACATGTCAGTGATCTCACATATTTGGGCACACAAACTGGGTCTCAAAGACTAGGGTAGTGTGTCCTGTCCATTCCTACTGCCTTGCTGTGGTGAGCAGGGATGGAGTATCTGGCCCTCTGGAAAAGGCTGGCAGCTGAGGTGGAGCCATAGACTCATTTATCCTTCAGCTCAGCTGGTTCATCATGCATCAGCACAGGCCAGGTGGCTGGTTAAGTGCTAGGGCAAAAGAAGTGAAGGATCTCCTGGTTCTAAGAATATGAGAATCTACCTGGGAAAATGACCTTCTAAACAGTGCTGACTGTGTCATGCTAACAATCACAACCATGACTCATCCCAGGACCCCTTACAAAGTACTATGATGGCTCCAGCTGGGTCAGAGGTGACTGCATCAGGGCCAGGCTTTCCAGATCAAATATACCTGTGGTCAGAATCCTCACGACGTACAATCCTTTTGCCCTTGAATTCAAATATGGAGGTATCTCAGGTGTTTCTTTGCTTTAGAATGCTGAGACTCAAAGTATGGTTCTTGGATCAGTGTCACCCTGGGGCTTGTCATTCAGAGAGGACAATGTCGCTTTGAATTCTGTCTTTGATGTTAGTCATTTGGGTTCTTGTTTCATTTCACTATTACTTCTGGGGGAGCTAGGGGGTTTTTCTTTTAGGGAAGTGTGTATTTTCTGAGTTCTTTAGAGAGCTGAGCTGATGTTAGAAGTACTGTGTCCTATTGAAAACCAAAGAAAGACCAGGAATCGTGGTACATGCCTGTAATCCCAGAACAAGGAGGCAGAGGCAGGAGGATTGGTACAAGTTTGAGGCCAATCTTTCTACACAGTGAATGCTAAGCTAGTCAGGTCTACATAGCAAGTCTATTAAAAAAAACTAAGCAAACGATCAGGGGAGGATTAGTTTTCTTTGCGAATTCCCTTATGGTCTCTTCTTGGAGGGTATGTAGATTTCCTGTTTTCTTGAGAGTGGGTGCGTTCCATGGGGCAAGGGCTAGTCTTTTAACTAGTTTCTGGTGTAGGTGAGGCATGGGCTCTTGGATTCCTGTCTGAATTTACTAAAGAAACTTGTTTGACTTACAGGGTATTGATGATGGAGATTGGTGAGAATTTGGGTAAATCTGAAGTGTCCTCATTAATTTTCCTTATAAGAGATTACACAGGCCGAGGCAAAAATAAGGTGAGTTTTCTTTTTTTGGTCTTTTTGAGACAGGGTCTCCCTGTAGCCTTAGCTAGCCTGGAACTTGCTATGATATAGACCAGGCTGGCCTTGAACTCACAGAGGTCTGCCTGCCTCTGCCTCCTGAGTGCAGGGATTAAAGGCGAGCACTACCATGTCAAGCAGGTGAGTTTTCTTTTCTTGGTTCCTATTCCCAAGTGCTATCAGAAGTAGGCCTTGCCCCTTCTGGTGTGGAAAGAGGGAAGCAGGCAGTCTGCTACTGTGTTACTGGGAATCAGGCACTTGAGGTGGTTTTTCTGTAATATACATAGCAAGAAAATTGGTTTCTCAAGTGAGAAGAAAATAGGTTGGTGGTGTCTTCTAGTGTGACCTTGGGTGTTTCTTTTATTCTTAGATTTGGTCCTAATTTCTGTAAACCTCATAGGCCTGGCACATATATCAGTTCTCTGTAGGGCCAGGAAGTCCTGTCTGCTTGTGTGGGATAGACAGGAACTGCTAGTCCACTCTCATCTGCCCACTGCTTCCGTTTCTCCTCAGTTAGCTTAGTGTCCGCATGAGGTGTGAGGCTTCTTGTGTGGAGACCACGTCGGGGAAGCTCCTTTGAGTGATCTGTCTGGGAAATGGAAACTTGTCAGCTCCACTCACATTTGTTTCTTGTTGGTGGTTCTTAGAGTTTCTTGGATCTGGTGATTGAACTGGAGAAGTTGAAACTGATTGCTTCCGATCAACTGAATTTATTAGAAAAATGCCTGCAGACCATTGGCAGAATAGACCTGAAGACAAAAATCCAGAAGTACAGGCAGTCTGGTGAGAATTTTTGGCCTCTTGGTAGCCTACAGTACTGTGCACAGTAGGAACGGCTGGTAAAGATTCATTTGTTGAGTGGGTGATTGAAACAGCCTGTGTATCTGCAGTCCTCTCTGGCCTAAAGTGAGAGATCATATTCCTTTATGTCCTTCTTGGCCAATCTGTTGACTCCACTGGAAAATCTCCCTTTGTAAAATGCTACCAAGAAGTTCTTAGGATTATGGTCTTTAAAAAAGTCTGTACCTGTATTTTGAAGGGGGGTACATCTGTGGATATTCAAGGGTTTTGAGTGTAAGCTGAACCCTACTGCCTGGCTCCAGTATTTGACCCATTGGCCACCGTCCAACTCTGGGTGGTGTTTTGGTTTTTCTCCTTTAATAGGGGGAGTTAGCTTTCTCTTTCACAACACCTCACCTTTTAGCTTCAGCCTCAGCTTGGTTTCTGCTAGCAGGTCACTGTCACCATAGGGTCATAGCCTCAAGGGACTGGCAAAGACCTGCTGATCTGAAGGACATTCAGCCCTCACTCTGAATGACTGATAAACAATCAGGAATAGGATTTTTAGTCATTCTTTATTTTATTGGATTTTTTGTTTGCTTTTTTGAGACAGGGTCTCCCTGTAGCCCCAGCTGGCCTGGAACTTGCTGTATAGACCAGGCTAGCTTTGATCTCCCAGAGATCTGCCTGCCTCTGTCTCCCAAGTGCTGGGATAAAAGGTATGTGCCTCCACACCCAGCTTCATTCTTTCTTTTATTTATTTGTGTGTGTGTTTGTCTACATGTGCCATGATGTGCATGTGGAACTCAGAGGATAATTTGAGGGAGTCTGTTCTTTCCTTTCACTATGTGGGTCCTGGGGATTGAACTCAGGTCATCAGGCTTGACAACAAGTGCCTTTATCTGCTGAGTCCTCTCATGGGCCTTTTAAGTCTTTTTTTTTTTTAAGATTTATTATTTATTATATGTATGCAATGTGTCTTTTGTGGAGTGCACATGAGTGCAGGTACCCTCAGGCTAGAGGCATTGAATCCCCCTGGAGCTGGAGTTATAGGTGGTTGTGAACTGCCAGACATGGGTGCTGGGAACTGAACTCAGATCTTCTTCATAGCAGTATATACTGTTTACTGCCCAGCCATCTCTCTAACCCAACTTTTAGTCATTCTTAAAGATGTGTGGAAGAAGAGTCATCTGAGCTAGTATTTTGAATTCACTTTTGTGCAAGGAAAGTTTAAAGTATTTTGAAAGATGATGATTGACTGGGACTCAAACACTGTTAAAGACTCATTTGGTAATTTGTGAATCTTAGCCCCTCTCTTCTGCCTTTATAGGTCAAGGAGGAGGAACCAGTTATATAAATTCTCTCCAAGCCTCTCTCACAAAAGTGAGTCTCAAAGATCCTTCATATATTTCAAGGGTGAGTCTGGAGCAAAAGTGTGGCGTGCCAATGTGAAACAGTTTCAGAGCTGTAATGAAAGTATATGCCTCATAACATGTACTATAATAGGGCTGGAGAGATGGCTCAGCGGTTAAGAACAATGACTGTTCCTGCAGAAGACCCGGGTTCGAATCCCAGCGCCCACATGGCAGCTAACAACTGTTCGTAACTCCAGTTTCAGGGATCCGACAGCCTCTTCTGTCCTCTGTGGGCATGCACGACACGGGTGTACTTACCTACATGTAGGCAATACATGCATACACATAAAATTAAAAAAATAAAAACAAAAAACATGTACTGTAATATTGGAATAAATTATAATTGACATATGTATTTGTTTGAGAAGTATGTATAACTTTTTATGCTTATAAAGTTAAAAAGTATTCACTGAGATATTTGAAGAACATTGAGAAATCTATGAGAGGAAATAAACCATCTATCTCCTGCTACCCAAAGATGACAACTGTTACTATTTTGGGATGTTCTCTTTTATCTCTTTTCTGTATGTGCCTCTTTATACAGTTGGACTTTATTTTTCATCTTTATTTGTTCCTTTGAAGATTCAGCTTTTAAAATAGATAAGATATATGTATAGGAAGAAAAATTTAAATGTCCTAAAAGAGATTTGAAAGGTGTGTTTCCTTCCTAGCCCGATACTGATACCCCAGTTCCTTTCTGTTAAGAAACTTGTTCTTGATCAATTTCTTCTGTAACATCCAGAGATAGTCCACATACATGTTCTCATCTAGTGTACAAGTGGTAGCATGTCTCTTGTTTGAACAGAAAAGTCTTAGGCATTGTTCCATGTGGTTCAAATGGGATTACCTCATTTAACTATTATTTGTATTGTTTGAATGATCCCCCCCCCCACACTTACTTTTATTTTAAAGACAAGGCTTCACTCTGTAGTCCAGGCTGGCCTTGAATTTGGGATGATATTCCTTCTGCTTCCTCCTCCCAGTGCTGAAATTACAGGCATGCACTGCTGGGAAAGCCCACAGTTTCCATTTTCTATATGTATTATAATAAATTTAGTTCTTTCTTGCTGTTGTATAGATTGCTTCCAATCTTTTGTTACTACAAACAATGCTGCAAAATAAATATCCTTGTACTCACCTCTCTGTGCATCTGTTTTTTAAAAATAATTTAACATGGGGCTGGAGAGATGGCTCAGTGGTTAAGAACACTGGTTGTTCTTGCAGAAGACCTGGGTTCAAATCCCAGCACCCACATGACAGCTAACAACTGTCTGTAACTTCAGTCCCAGGGGATCTGACAGCCTCATTCTGACCTCCATGGGTATTGCACGACATGGGTGCACTTACCTACATGCAGGCAATACATGCATACACATAAAATAAAAATAATAAATAGGGCCGGGCATGGGGGCGCACACCTTTAATCCCAGCACTCGGGAGGCAGAGGCAGGCAGATCTCTGTGAGTTCAAGGCCAGCCTGGTCTACAGAGTGAGTTCTAGGACAGCTGGGGCTACAGGGAGACCCTGTCTCAAAAAGACCAAAAAATAAATAACATTTTTTAAAGTTACAAAATTTAACATATGAAAAAATTTTATTTATTTTTGTTTATGAGTATATTGCCTGCATGTATGTAAGTGCACCTGTGTAGTGCAATGCCCACAGAGGTCAGAAGAGAGCATTGGATTCCCCTGGAACTGGAACTGTAGATGATTGTTAGCCACCATGAAGGTGCTGGAAATTGAACCCGGGTCTTCTGCAAGAACAGCCAGTGCTCTTAACCACTGAGCCATCTTTCCAGCCCCAAAATAATTTAACGTATTTTTAAAATTTATTTTTTATTTGTATGTATGTGTGTGTGCCTCCAGTTTATGTGTACTACATGCATGCAGATACCCATGGAGGTAGAGGGTAGTAGATCCTCTGGAACTGGAGTTTCAAGAGGTTGTGAGCTGCCATGTGGGTCCTGGGAACTGAACCCAGGTTCTCTGCAAGAGCAATAAGCACATTTAACTGTTGAGCCATCTCTCCAGCCCTGTGTCTTCTTTTTATTGTGTGTATTTTAATAATTTAAGCAAAATTTTTATTGAATGAAAAAACAATAAATTTGTTTTTTCCAGTTCATGATCATACATGTCACATAGTCATGTATGGTTGTTGTGTTGGTAGTAGCACAAGCTATCACTAGAATTGTTCTTTGGTTAATCTTTTATCTTTGGAAGAAGACTCTTGGTGTACTCTTAGCCTCACCTCACTTAAAGTTATGTGGACTTTGTGGTGAGGACTTAGAAGAAAGTGCACTTTCATGGTTAAATTATAAATGCTTTCATGAAAGTAAATCATGAAACCATTCCTCCTATTATAGAAATAGTTTCTTGACAAATATGAGCTATGAGAGATAGCACTGAGCAACAGAGTTTCAAAGCTAAAATTTTGTGAAGCATTGTGCTTCCCCATCCACTCACTGAACAAAACGAGGAAACGCAGGTCTAAAGGAACCTTATTGCCCATCTCTGCCTCCTGGCAGGCCAGGCCCAGTCCGCACTCCTCCCAATGTCTCCTGTTGTATCTAATATATGACAGTTACCCCATAGCTTAGATACAGCTTTTGGTTTGTCCTTCTGCTCTCTGAAACTAAATCACAGACAACACAGACAGGGATTTCTAAGCTTTTTCTCCTGCCTTCTGTCTAATGTAAGTTACACTGTCATTCTAAGTTAAAAATCCTTCCCTATTTTCACTATTGTACTTCTATTTGACAAATGCGGGTAAGCATCTCATTGTCTATGAGGCCTGCTGGGATCCAGAGTGCTCTGTGTTTCATTTCTCTTTATACTTGTTGTGTTTAACATGTAATCTAATCATTCAGTTTGTGAGCAGGCACTATGTGGTATGAATTGGGTGACTTTTTCATGAGATTTGGGAACTGCATAGTTATCTGTTGACTCTTATAAGACTATAAAAGTGCTTCAGAAAGTACAATGACATTGAATGGCATCACATTCTGAAATGTTATAATGTTTTTATGAGTACACTGACATACTTTTTAAGTCTAGCTTTTATTTGATGCCATACCCTCTTAATAACATGTAGTAGTCAACCATTTGGGAGGCTAATTTCTATCCAGAACGATGAGGCTCTTAGTCATGGATTATTCAGGAAAAACAGAACATGTGTTTTTCTTGAGGAGTTTCTATACACACACGACATAGCTACAGCCATGGCTTAATGGATACTGTACTTCGTTTTGGCTAGGATAGTTTCAGAGGAAAGTTGTCACTTGAAGTATGAATGGTCAGATGTGGACAGGATGTGGGCTGTGTATCTTATACAGGTCCTTTCATTTGAGAAGAGAAAGGGTCTGTCAGTTCAGTCTTTCAATCTCTGACTAATTCCACTTCAGCCTTAGGAGTTGTTTATGCAGAATTCTTGATTATCAAGAATCATGCCTACATGTCACTTATGTGTAACTAAGAAATTATTAAAAAGCCATAATTAGACCCTATTTATTTATTTACTTGTGCTGTGAATTGCACCCAGGGCTGTGGGTTATAGGCATTTCTTTTTTTTTAAGTGTTTTTTTAAGTTTTTAAAAATCATTTTTATTTTATACATATGAGTGTATTGTCTGCATGTGTGCAATGCCCAAGGCGGTCGGAAGAAGGCATTGAATTCCCCCAGAACTGGAGTTACAGATGGTTGTTAGCAGCCATGTGGTGCTGGGAATCGAACCAGGTTCTCTAGCAGAGCAGCTGGTTCCCTTAACCACTGAGTCATCTCTCCAGCCCCAAGGGCATTTCTTAAGTAATTCAATGCACTCTGCACTGTGCTGAGTATTTGTGCTTATTTAATCACCCTAAAAACCCTATTTGGTTGATACCATTCAATTCTTATTCTCACTTTTGTTGATGAAGAAGGAGATGTAGAGGGGCAAAATGGCTGGCTCAGGGTCACAGAGCTATTAACTGGCAGAATCAGGATTCATAGCCAGTCTGTTCTAAAACCTGTACTCACACCCTCACTAAACTTTGCCCCTATGTTAAAGGAGTAAGTTGCCTGTCAATCTCAGGTTCCAACAGCTTGTTCTAAGTTGGAACTGTTGTGACAACTACACTGGTTTTACTGAGCTGTTTTGAAACATTCTACTATGCTAGTTTAGCATATTTCCACTTCCACTGTGTTTTCGTTTCTTTTTTAAAAATATTTTATTATTTATTATTTTTATTTTATGTGTATGAGTTTATTGCCTGCATGTATGTGAGTGCACCCATGTCGTGCAATGCCGCGGAGGTCAGAAGAGGGCTTCGGGTTCCCCTGGAACTGGAGTTAAGGACTGTTAGTAGCTGCCATGTGGGTGTTGGGACTCGAACCCGGGTCCTCTGCAAGAGCAGTCAGTGCTCTTAACTGCTGATCCATCTCTCCAGCCCAATGTTTTCATTTCTTAATGGAAGAATTCTTTGGCAAAATAGCATTATAGAATTTATGGAGTTAACTGTTCTTGTAGATCTTTTTTAGGTAACTGTGAAGGTGATATTTTTATTTTTTTCCTGGTAAAAATATTGAGATATTTAAAGAGGTGTAAAAGTGTGCTTCTGAAAAAACTAACATATGACCTTCTTCTTTATATTTGAAGATCCAGAATGGGCGAAGCAGAGAACCGAGAATTGTGGAACATCTTGGCATTCAAAGTAAGGCCAGCATTCCCTTATATCTTTTCTTTATGAGTGCTTAATAATCAAAGTACAAGGGGCTGAGGTCTAGCTCAATGGTAGAGCGCTTGCCAAGCATGAATGAGGCCCCAGATTCAATCTCCAGCACTGGAAAAAGTTTACACTATTGTGTGGTGGTCCTTGCTTATCCACCTAGCTGCTTGGGAGGCTGAGGTAGCAGGATCTCTTGAGCTCCGGGGTCCAGTACCAGCCTCCTTGGCAACATAGTGAGACCCTATCATCCAAAAAAAGAGAAGGATGAAAGAAAAGGAAAAAAGGAAAAGTTCTACTTTTAGAGTTGGCTATTTCATTTATCCACATATTTTAATTAAGCTCTCCCAAAGCAGTAAAAGTATTCTTAAAATATATTCATTGGCACTTCTAGTAACTCATTTCAGTCTGAATACTGTCTTACTCCATCAGGTGCTTCCTCTTGGCTGTATTTTTAAGAGATGTGACATTTGTGTATCTGAGATGAATCTACAACTAGACCGTGTTAACATTAATCTAACCGCAGTACTAAAGTACATGAAGCCAAATATCTAGCTACAGGAGGAAGAAAGGCTAATCTGTTCTCTGGATACTCAGGAGAAGGCATCTTCCCTCCCCTAGAAAGAAAACATAATGAAAAGACTGGATATTTTAACCCACGTGGTCTTTTCTCTTAATCATCAGCACTTTAGCCTGTGATATTATTTTAAGTTTTTATTTGTTTAGTTACTTTTTATTTTTATATTTTATTTACTATTTTTAGTTTATGTGTATGAGTGTATTGCCTACATGTATGTAAGTGTATCCATGTCATGCAGTGTCTGAGGAGGTCAGAAGAAAGCATCAGATCCCCTGGAACTGGCATTACAGATGGTTGCTAGGTGACATGTAGGTGCTGGGAATCGAACCCAGGTCCTCTGCAAAGCAGTCAGTGCTCTCAACTTCTGAGCCATCTCTCCAGCCCCTGCTTTTTATTTTTTTATATTTATATTTGGGGAGTTAGAGATAGAATCTTGCTGTGCAGCCCTGGCTGGTCTAGCATTTACTAGATAGTCCAGGCTAGCCTTGAACTCACAGCAGGCCTGTATTACCAAGCTTGGCTTATAAAATTATTTTTAGACAGTGTAGTTCTTGCTGTATTGAGGCATCTCTGAAGTGAGAGTTGAGGATCAGCCTCACACTGCTGAGGTAAATTTTTGTACTTCACAGCATCAGGAAGCAGGCATCTATGGCACAGTGGAGGGCCTTACCTGAGGGCCTTGGAATCTGTTCTGTGTGCAGTGAAGGATCATGAACATTTTTTTTTAATATTTTTATTTTTATTTTATGGGTATGAGTGTAAGTACACCCATGTTGTGAAATTCTGGCAGAGGTCAGAAGAGTGTGTCAGATCCCCTGGAACTGGAGCTACAGATGGTTGTTAGCTGCCATGTGGGTTCTGGGAATTGAACCCGGCTCCTCTGCAAGGCCAGCCAGTGCTCTTAACCCACTGATCCATCTCTCTAGCCCTTGAACATGAACATTTGAGTAACTACATGGGCATTGTGAGTAGGGCATGGCCTGATGGAAGCCTTCTCCGTGTAGCTTGTGACTCAGCCTGCAGGCTCCATGTGTGCTCTTGGAAACTGGGATCCATTCTGCCCAGACTAGCCAGATGGTGCTGCTCACGCCTGTCCTTCTCTTCCTAACATTCTTCTCTCCAGCGAAAGCTGTTGAGAACTGAATTAATTCCTGAAGTGGCAGCCCACTTCTGAAAACACCATTGAAGTGGAAAGAGCATTGTGGATTGCTGCTTAAGGGGAAAAACAGGAGACTTGGTAGGTTTGCTCAGGAATACAAAACAAATGGCATTCTTTCCACTGTGATCCCCATGACAGATGGTCTCATTATGCAGGTGAGTTTGTGAGGCTCCCAATACCTTCTGACCCAGTTATGACAGCCATGTTCTGTTTTTTTCCTGGACTTGATTTGCTTACTAATAAAAGGAATAGCATTCAGCTGAGTTAGCCTTAAGCTAATAGAAATTTAAAATAATCAAGTCAAGTATTCAGGTTAATTTGGGCTTCTGAATGGTTCTCAAATGAAAGAATAAGATGATGGGTGAATTCTTTAAATCTTCAACTGAGATAGCCATGTCATGTGATATTTGTGGGGTTTTTTTTTTTTTTTTTTTGGTCTTTTTGAGACAGGGTCTCCCTGTAGCCCCAGCTGTCCTGGAACTCACTATGTAGACCAGGCTGGCCTTGAATGCACAGAGATCCACCTGCCTCTGCCTCCTGAGTGCTGGGATTAAAGGTGTGTGCCACCACGCCCAGCCTTTTGTGGGATCTTTAAAAAGAATAATTTATTGAGTCTACTGTAATGGGGGCACTAAGCTGGGCAGTAACCAGAGTACTGTCTGCAGTCTATTTCATGGGGTTTTTCCTTGTTCTGTTAAAATTAACTATGATGTCATAACATAAGATCAAGTGAGGGGCTCGAGAGATGGCTCAGTGGTTAAGAACCCTGGCTGCTTTTGCACTGGACTCAGGTTCAGTTCCCAGCACCCATATGCAGCTAACAACCATGTATAGCTCTAGTTCCAGGGGATCCGACACCCTCTTCTGGCCTCTAAGGGCATTGCATGCATCTGGTACACTTACATAGATGCTGGCAAAACACTCAAACACATAAAATAAAAATAAATGAATATCACTTGGGAGGCAGAGGCAAGCGGATCTCTGTGAGTTCAAGGCCAGCCTGGTCTACCTGGTGACTCCAGGACAGAGAGCTGCAGAGAGATCCTGTCTCAAAAAGACCAAAATAAATAAATAAATAAAAATAAATGAATAAACAGTTTTTAAAAGATCAGGTGAAATTCATTTCTAATTTCAAACATCAGAGATGGCTACTGTTCATGTTTGATTTATTTTATTCTATTGTAATTTTGAGACATGTAGCCCAAGCTAGATCTTGAAATCACAGGGCTTCTCCTGCCTCAGTCTCCAAATTACTAGGATTACATGTGTGGCCTACCATGCCAGGTTAATATTTAATTTATATACCTCTTTTTATTTTTCTGTGTTGTTTTTTTTTTTTTTTTTTTCCCCTTCTGCTGGGGATTGAGTCTACAACTTCATGGATACTGGTGCATTGCTCTACCACTAAGCCCCAGCAGTTGATTTATATCTCTTGACTCTTATTTGCATATATATACACAGTTGTCCCTCAGCATCTGTTGGGGATGGGTTCCAGGTTGACTGTAGGCACCACAGTCTGCAGATGCCTAAGTCCTATATGCAAGAGTCATTTGCGTATGACCTGTGCACATCCTCTGCTACATTTTAAATTATCTCTAGATTAGTTCTAATGTTTACTACAATGTTTACTATACTTTGCTGTTTTGGAAATAGTGACAAGGCGAATGTCTGTACATGTTCAGTGTAGATTAAGTCCATATTATTTAGTCATCTAGTTTTACTTAATATATCCTACATATCTTCTCATGTCAAATACATAAAGGTTTGTTTTATCTTTTTAAACAATGTGGACTGTTCCATCCTATGCATCATAATGGATTTAACCATTTTCATGTTGGTGACTTTTAGGTTGTTCCAACCTGGGGCCTTTATTAGTAGTTTTTCAGCAGATACTTTGATATACACTTTTGTTCTCATGCTTTATTATTCCCTTAAAACTTCGAGAAGTAGAATTTGGCTTAAAGGACCTTGCTAGTTGCCCTTTAAAAAGATTGACTCAGGGGCTGAGGAGATGATTCAGTTGGTAAAGTGCTTGATGTGCAAACATGAGGACCTGAGTTCAAACCCCAGAGCCCACGTAAGAAATTGGGCATGCTGGGTGTGGTGGCGCGTGCCTTTAATCCTAGCACTTGAGAGGCAGAGGCAGGAGGATCTCTGTGAGTTTGAGGCCAGTCTGGTCTACTGGTCTACATAGCGAGTTCCAGGCCAGCTGGGACTACAGGGAGACTCTGTCTCAAAAATACCAAGAAAAAAAAATCGGGCATGACAGTGTATGCCTCTAATGCCAGTACTGGGGACTGGGGATGTAGAGACAGGAGGATCCCTATAGCCTGCTCGTCAGCCAACCAAGTTGAGTTGATAAGCTTTGGATTCAGTGAGAGATTCTGACTCAAAAACTAAGTGGAAAGTGATTGAGGAAAACACCTGGCATCATCAACTTCTAGCCTCCACATGTGACCACAAAGAGGTACCCACCCATGCATACATGCAAACACACAACACACACACAAGTCTAGTTCAAAGATAAATGTGGTGGCACAGGACCATAATCCCAGCATTTGAGAGATGAGGTAGGAGGCTTACAAGTTTGAGGCCAGCCTGGGCTACGTAGTGAGAACCTACCTCAAAGAAGCAAAACAATGACAGACAACAAAACTCATTTCTTCCGACCTTACTGATACTGGAAGTATTTTCTGCCTCACTTTAGACTTTAGTTCTCACTTTGCAGCAGTCTTGCCTTGGAGAGTGAATGAGGTAACTTAAGATGACAGAGCTCCTCAGTGCTGAGGTGTGAGCCAGCCCTTTCACAGCTTCAAAACTGGCGCTTCCTCCACCTCTGCAGACTAATTGAGTCATTTTTATCTAGCAGTTTTCTTGGCTTACCAGCCTTTGCCAGGCTCACTGTGCTCTATCCTGCCTTTGACATTTTATTTTATCATCTCCCAGCATCACTGGGCTATGAAAACATTGGCCATCTGTTCTGTACGCAACAGACATGCATAAACTTGACTTTCCTGTGCTCTCCAAGGCAGTACCCTTCAGATGTTGTCTGTAGTTTCAACACACATAGGCAAGCTATCAATATAGTCAAGTGGTATTTTTGAATTCTCCTTATCAGGTTAAAAGCTTGCCAGCCACCTGGCCATCTCCCGGAGGAGGGTAAGGGCAGCCTTCTTTCATTTGCACATGGTAGTTTGTCTATACAGTCCTAGAGAGGCAGAAGCACTTGAGTTTTCTTATTGGTCATGCTCTTTAGTGTGAGGTTGGAACGTTGGGCTGGGTATAGCTGGAGAAAGAATAGGTAGGTGAAGAAATGGGCAAGGAGAACAGTTGTGACATAAAAGAATTCAGCCAGCATGGGGTGGACTTAATTCTCCTTCTGCCTTGTAAATGATTTCTCTCTCATTCCCTAGGAGAACCAGTGAAGACATCCATTCAGGAATCAGGAGCTTTTCTGCCTCGGGTATAGAATAAATGATCTGATTTGGTGTTGTATGCACAGTATCTGCTGAAACACTGGTCTCTTTAAAACAAACAAACAAACAAACAAAAAAACCCCAAACTTGTTCTGTCCTTAAGAATTCTTTGTGACAATGGACTGCCTGTGTGATGGTCTCCCATGAACTCATTGCCCAGGAACCTTGAACGTAGGAAAGAGAGCAGTGTTGAATTCAGTGGATTGTATTAGTGAACTTTGGAATGCAGGGAAATTCCAGTGGTAGCTCCCATCTCAGTCAAGTGAATACTGGCATACAAGTAGAACCCTCCACTGAATGGTGACATGCCCTTACTTTTTCTTGGGTTGATTCTTCTTCTCCTTAAGAGGCAGTAGAAGGCCTCCATTCATAGTGGTTTGGAAAGATGCCATTTGTTTCTATTTTAGTTATCTGTGAAGACACGTGAACCCTCTTCTTTCTCTGTTTCAAATTATCTTTATTCTGCAATGCTAAGTCACATGTAAAGAGACTGCAGTTTTCATAATTAAGTGAAAACAGAAACAGCTTGTTTGTCTTGAGCATATTATCCTAATAGAGGAAAAATTTGACATTAATGGGAAATGTCAGCTGTGATGACTTCAGGCTGTGTCCATTGAGTTACTCACCTGCCAAAGGGATGTTTAAGAAAATCCAAAAAGAGAGATGGTGCATCAGTGAGACCTTAGAGGAACAGGGAAGATCCAGAGTCTCTAATTATCCCTTCCTTTCTTTCTAGCACATCCATGAAGAGAGATACAGGATGCAGAGCAAGCCCTTAGGAATCTGCTTGATAATCGATTGCATTGGCAATGACACAGGTAGGCACAGAAGCTGAATGGATTTTACAGTGTGGTCATGACCAGGCTAATTGGATTCATCACTGTGGTCAACACTAGTAACAGAGCGCACTCTACTGTGATGGTTGCTTCTCAGCCTTGTCATCAACTAGTGTGGACTGTGAACTTTGATCCATCTGTTCAGTCCATGGCCCCATCATTTTCTGAGGCCTTGCAGTGTTCTAAAGGGCCCTCCATATGTGACTGGTAGATGAGAGAAGAGAGATTGTATGGAGGATCACATACAGATTTTAAGCCTGAAAGTGATGTACCTCATCTCCACCACATTTTATTGATCAGAACTCAGTCATGTGGCTCCAGCTAACTACAATGGATGTGGATAAATTATATGTCAAGGGGAACATGATATGAACTTGGAGGACATTACGCAAGTTATAAATTGTATGAAAGTTGGTATGTTTTAGTCTTACCTGCATGTCCTAGATGATGTGGACAGGAGTAGTTGCGGTAACCAAGGCACATTTATAATGCAAGGCATTCTGGTTTCTAATGTTATGAAATGTCTCATAGACATTTGTCTGGGTAGACTATGAAAACCTTCCCAGGGACATTAAAAATGAAATAAATCTGTGCTCACTTAGAGGGATGCGGAGAGTGTTTGAGCCATGTGCCACTTAGATCTGCTGTCTCTTTCATCTACCTGTGTGTCATCTTCATTGGATCTGAATTGTTTTGCTCAGTCGTTAGATGTCTGACTCAAACTGAATCACTGGTGATGCGTCAAGAGAGAATGAGATGAGCTTAGTTGAGCGGAATAACGTTCCATTTAATTATCTCACCCTTCCTCTGAGGACTGATCATTATAGTTCACGGTTTTCTAGCTTCTTGGTGTTCTTTTAGCATGAGTCAGAGCAATGATGTATGCTCACTTGAAATGTTACCGGGGAGACTTATGAAAAGAGAGTCTAGGAGAAGGTTGAATTAGCAAATACAAAACTGAATCTCCCAGGATTTCAGATATGATCCCATTTTCTCATGTCCTATTTTGGGTATAGCTGTGTCTTCAGCTATAGATAAGTGCCCTTTCCTTTTCAGCTGTTAGCATCCATGTCAGAGTGAGGAAATGACTTCTCAATGAGTCACTTGCTATTCTAAAGGACATCGTGTAATGCCCTCTTTACTTCGGTTGTGATTGGTCTTGTTTCATTCACTATCAGAAAATTTCTCAAATGGACAGGATTTTATGTTGTATCCATATTTATATTAAGACACTCACAAAGATCAAGCCACAACCTGCTGTGAATTGAAAAATCAATTATTGTGACTAAAATCCAGGGCTGGTGCTTGCTTCTCTTTTGGAGTTGTGGACTTCGTGTGGGCAGGGGCTAAATGCATACATGTATTTGTCTCATTAGAAGAATGTGGTCAGAGTTGGCCCCTAGACTATGATTACCTGGATTTTAATCATGGCTTATCATATATTAGCTTGTGATCTTGGGCAGCTTTCCTAACCTCTTTAAGACTCAGTGTCTCTGCTATAAAACCTTAGGGGTAAACTCAGGGATTAAGACAGTGCTTGGGGACAATGTTGGCTAACATTGTTTCTTTTTTGTTTAACTTTAGTGGTAAACTACTAAACAATGACACTTCATGGCTTTGTGTTTAGTCCATTGAGTTTGGTCTTAGACAAGTAAAGAACATGGGGAACAGAGGGCCTGAGGCCTGTACTGGGTTCAAAGGTGACTGGGACACATTCCCACATGCTGTGGCACAGTGGAGTGGAGGCAGTTACAGGGGAGAACTTTCAGGTGGAAATCTGAGCAGACCAGTCCTACCAGTCATTGGTGTGAATGGGCCTGGCAGTGAAGGAAATTGTAAATACAGATGCTAGGGGACAGGGGCAGAGACCTTACCCAGGAAGACAGAAAAGGAGGGTAAAGTTGGAGTTGGAGCTTTGGGCACCACCTTTGGCCTGAGGTGTATTAATACTTCTGTTTCCTGCCCCATGACTGCTGCTGAGTCTGCATATGAGCCCAGGAGTCAGAGTGATAGGGACTTCAGAGATGGCTCAGTTGGTAAAGTGCTTGCTGCACAAACATGAGAACCTGAATTTGGATCTCTGGAACCCAGGTTAAAGGCCAGGCGAGATAACAGACATCAGTGATCCCAGGGCTTGGGAAGCAGAAACAGGAGAATCCCAGGAGCTCACTGGCCAGTCAGTCTTCCAAAATTACTAAGATCTAGATTCAGTGAGAGACCTTGAACAAGGTAGAGAGCAACAGAGGAATACACCTGATGTTGCCCTCTGACCTCTACACATGAGTACACATCTGCACACATATGAACACACATGAACACATACACATGCATACACCACACACATACTGCCATGTACACACACATACATACACACATGCACACACACACATAAAGAATCAGAATGGTAGCTCCAAGCATCAAGACTTCTCTGGTCAGTATAGTCTTTCCAAGGTCAACATTGTGATGGTGGAGTGCTGGACCAGGGAGGGCCTGGGCCAATAAAAGGCCTTTAGCTGCTCACTGCTGCTTCTTCCTATCTCCCAAACCAAACCTCTGGGAGTAAAACAAACAATTGGGCTAGAGGCCTCTTACAAAACCTCCTGACTCAGGTGGTTAGTCAGCAGGTTAAAAATAAGACAGCACAGTTTTGCTCAAATTGTGTGGTGCTTTTTGTCAGCTGAGAGGCCCCATATCCACTTATATGGCTTGCTGAGGCTCAGAGCAGCAGGGTGGTATGAATCCTCTGAAGTGGGAGGACTGTCTCCTCAGGTACAGTCTCTAGGCCTCCAGCTGCCCTCCTGGGACTTTTCACTGAGAATTCAGGGGCTGGAGCCCTGCTTTGGAGGAAAGTGGTCACCAGCTGAAACACTCTTCATTTCTTCTTTCCTATCTTATAGTCAAGAGCTTCATCTAGAGTGATGATGTGGGATTTCTCAGTCTAGTTACCTTTGCCAACTGGTTAATGTTGACCATTTGGCTGAAACTCAGGGGTCAGATAATCATCAATAAGGTATTTGCCAACTGAGATCAAGTCTCTGAAAAAAACTAGCAGTAGCATGATAGATGAACGATCAGTGTATCATTTATTAAAAATTGATATCAGGTGCTTTGCGAATTGCTTTGCACGATTCTAATTTATACCTTGCAAGTAATAGTGTAAGATACTACTATCATCTCCATGTTCAATCTGAGCAAGCTAAGCAGTAACCACCTTCCTGACTTCCCTAGTAGTGACAGAGCTGGGAATCAGACATTTGTCTTCAAAGTCTATGTTTTTTCACTTTGCTTTAATGTAAATTCCAAAAGGGTAGATGGAAAAGTTTATACATTGTTTTTTTAATTTTTTTTGATTTATTTATTTTTATTTTATATATGTATGAATGTATTGTCTGCATGTGTCCAAATGCACCTGTATCATGCAATGCCTATGGAGAACAGATTCCCTGGAACTGGAGTTATAGATGGTTATTAGCTGCCATGTGGGTGCTAGGATTTGAACTTGGGTCTTCTGCAAGAACAGCCAGTGCTCTTAACCACTAAGCCGTCTCTCCAGCCCAAGGTTATACATTTGCTTTACTGTATGTCACCAGTAGCTGGAAACATGCTGGGCAAGTAGGTACTCCGTAAATACTATGTGATTGAAAGAATGAAGGAATAGGCTCTACTGGTAGCAATGTGTTTCTAAAACTATTCCTTTTTATCTTTAGGATTTAGTAGATTCTCTTTGACTTATTTGTTCCTTCTATCCTTAAACAAAAACAACAAAAAACAACCAACCAACCCATACTGAACTTGTGTAAGTGCCTTGGATATATATATTTATTCTTCCCTTTGTCCAGCAAATGCTTATGGAGCACCTATTACATACAAAGCACCCTGCTTGGCCCTGCATGAAGCACAGATTGAGGAACAAGGTGGAGTCTGGTCTCCAAGCCAGTGAGAAAAGACAAGGTTATTTTTTGGCAAAATATTCTTGAGAAGAATTCTTATGGAAACTAGTGACTTCCTCTTGAGGTAGATACCAGTACTTAAGCATTTGGGTCTAAGTATTCCAGTTTGGTAAATTGAAGAACAAGTCCTTGGTTGTTTGGTCAACTATGTCAGTAACCTATCAAAGCCAGGCCTGTGCTGGGCCCTGGTTGGCCAACTGAGTGCCAGATTGTTGATCTTGTTAGGTATGTAAAAGCAAATGTCGCTCATACTGACATGTGAACTCTGGGCCTGGCTAAAGATTTTGGCTGTTTTTTTTTTGGATCCTGTATAAAAGATGGTATTTTCTGCTTTTAAGAGGAAGTATTTTTTCCCCTCCCTTTGCCTCTCCTGAAAAGCTTGATATCTCCCTCTCTCTCTCTCTCTCTCTCTCTCTCTCTCTCTCTCTCTCTCTCTCTCTCGTGTGTGTGTGTGTGTGTGTGTGTGTGTGTGTGTTTTATGTGTCTGAGACAGGATTTCTAGAAGCACTTCAAGTTCCAACGTAGTGTTATATAAGGAAACTTCCTCTTCTTACAGAGTGTTTATCATGAAAGTCAGGAGTGTGGAGACCCATTGCTAGGGCCTGCTCTGGGCTTCCATTTGTGGTTTTTCTTTTGATGGAATGGGCAGAAATCTGAATGAGAAGCACTTTTTGTAGTAACATTTATATAATAGTAATTCACAAAAATATTTTATTATCATAATTAATTAATTAATTAATTAATTGTGTTTTTGTAGCCCCAGCTGACCTGGAACTCCCTATATAGACCAGGCTGGCCTTGAACTCACAGAGATCTGTCTGCCTCTGCCTCCTGAATGCTGGGATTAAAGGCATGCACGACAATGCCTGACACTTTATTATTTTTATCTTATGTGTATGAGTGTATTACCTGCATGTATGTAAGTGTAACTATCATGCATTGCCTGCAGAGGTCACAAGAGGGCATTGGATCTCTTGGAACTGGAGTTACAGATGGTTGTTAGCTACCATGTGGGTACTGAGAATCAAACCC